TTATGAATATTACAAATTTGATATTTACGACCTAATTGTGATATCATTCTGAAATTATATGATAATAAACCAATGCTAAGTATAACCAATTACCAATTTTTACTTTACTACAAGTATAACCAAAATTTTAATAAGGAAAGAGATTGAAAAGATAAATAAACAAAAAGTATCATATGTTGATTTAAATTTACTGGAAAAAAATATCAAACAAATTCAAGATATACATGTGAATAAATTAAGAAACTTGATTGATGCAAGGAATGAAGTGACATGCCCCTTTAAACCCACGCTTCTTGAGTCCTGGCCCTTAAGCACTTATGATTTCAGATTATGCTAATGGGGCAAATATTACTGTACACATGAATAAACTTGGATATAATGTATAAGAAGACATATTTTCAAGATGGTGAGAAGGATCAAGTGACCTTTGTGGGTCTTAATTGACTCCGCTAGTGCAACAAACTATAAAAGAAGTAGTTGGTTCATCGCTAATAGTATCGAAACGTTTTTAGATAAGAACATCACACTCTGATAGTTCGATGAGTCCATTAATCCTGTTAACTCGTTTTGTGATGAACCTAAGTAGTTAAGTAAGTTCGAAATAGTATCAATTTCATATCGAATTTAGTAGTGAATCCACTTTGGTCTATTTGTTTGAATGTATTATTATAATTACATCTTCGATGAAGGTGACATCGGTTCATATTTCTAACATACGAATTGATCCGACATTCCGGCCTAATTGCTAACCCCAAGTTAGTTAAACACAAAGAATATACATTGTGTTTATGTAAACTACTCAACCTTTGCAGTGACATGAAAATGAAAGGTTGGATATACTAGATACATTGTACTCTGGCTTCAATTTCAAACCTTAGCCAGACATATCCAGTGTGGCATATTTCTTATCATTCCTTCTCAATCCGAAATGTGCTATGTATTGTTAATTAAAATCAATATATAGACGTATTATATTAATTTCATTAATGGGACAAATCTGTGACACAATTTTTTTAGACAATTTTTAGTATAAGTTTTTGTGAGAACCACTCTGTAATGTGTTTTAACGATTTAAACTGCTTAGCTTTTGGAACATTATTCATTGATCATCCTTGCAAAAAAATAGACAAATCGAAAACCATTAAGACATTAATGTGTAGTGAAGAAAATTGACGAATACTGTTTTACAAAGAAACACTAAAACCTTAATCCAATGGTTGAATAGTTTCAGATTTAGTGTTTTTTAGCGGACAGATCTTTAAGATAAAACCTAAAAATAGATGATTTGAATCTTAAAATACATTACGAAGTAGGCCTTACAAATACTTATGTAAAATATTATCAAATATAAACAGTGCCACGAATCCGTTCCCTTTCTTTATGCTATTAATTCTATTAGTTATAAAAAGTCCACAGGAAGTGACACTTTTTTACTTTAACTTTGAAGATAAATCCACAAGTCGAAGTCTAAGTATGAATATAAATTTACATATTATATAATATTCATGAATTTTGTACTTTCTCCGAGTATTCGGGTTTTCAAATATTCAAGCCATGCAGGACAGTATGTAATACAAAACTTTTGAAATTTTCTAAAGCTACAAGATTTATTTGTAACAAACTAGACAATAAAAAACACCTCCTTATCCATAACCATTTTGGCATACGTTGCTAGATAGCCAAAGTTTATACATTAATCAACGTTGCAGTTATTTTTAAGTAAGTGTTATTGACACTCAAAAAATCTCATTATACACTCCGTACAAGTGTATTTTTCTTTTCTAATATAGAAAGTCTGGAGTGTAGAATGAGATTTTTAGAGTACTATAATAACAATTCCCTATTTTTATTGTCTATTTACTAGAAAACGTATCCATGTTTAAGAAGTATATAATGCTATTACAAGTGAAAACGTTATATTTACACTACCATACTAGAACATGATAACAACCTAAAAAAAGACATAATCGAACACGAATAATGCTCTTCTGGTGAAAATAACACAACTTCATTCCAAAGTATAATAATTGTTCGACCAAAGGCCTACATGGGATTAAATTTGCAAGCTTGTCTCACCAAACACAATTATGAAAAACTTGTTCTTGTCATATTAGAGTACTATACATAAGTACTTACGTCATCAATTTGGAAGCGGATCCTCTCCAGGTCCCTCCTATCCGAGTCCTCTGAATCTTCAATGAAAAGAACTTGTCATGGCAACAACGGCCTTGGAATCCTCCGCCTTGAGATTTGTCGTGAAGGTGCTAACGGCGAGAATGTTAAGAGGGGTGCAGATGTAAGGGGAGACGACCATGTCATCGGAATCGTAGTCGAGATTGAAGTACCCCAATTCCCACTGCATATTTCCCTATCCTTCAACCCCTCCCATTTTCTTCTGGTTTTGCTTCGTCGATCGTTGTTGGAGAAGAAAGCAAAGAGAAAGAGTGAGAAAGTTGAAGATGAAGGTGATTTCAGTTGCACGATTTTACGGAAACGGTTGAGATTATTTAGTTTTGACGGTTCGGATGGAAAGGATGCAGAGATGATCATGTTCCGTCAATTCCATTGTTACACCAAAAAAATATACATGTACCTAAATAAAAAGTAAAAGCTATATAAGTAAATTAGAATTTTTTTTTCCTTTTCTTTTCACTAATGCTTAACTTTTTATCCCTTAGATTAAATATATGTGCCTAATAAATCAAAATAATCGATCTCTCCTGTTGCTACATTGTATTCCAGCAAGGAGATCATATAGTTACGGCCCATTGAGTGCTGCCACACTATATATACATAAAAATATCTAAAGAAAAGAAACAAAAATATTTAATTATATAAGAAGGATGGGTAGGAAAGGGACACATCATGAACCGTACGGACCATTAAGTCTAATCCCATTAATTAAAAATTGTAAATGCCCCTCAAATCCTTGCTTCAATTGAATTAATTAAATTAATTAATATAAATCATCTCCAAAAGACACTTTATTTAAGTTGGGAAGGTGAGTAAGTTCTCAACTCGACATTTGGGTGGTGGGAAAGGCATTTTTTTTCTTGTACTTCATTTTTGGAGGAGAAATTGTTGGTGCTCTCTTTTTGTGATGGATTCTAATTAGCACCAACCCTCCTGCTTAACTTTTAATTACAATCTTACCATTTCGAACACTAATTAATTAATGGGTTCTTCATAAATATGCCTCCCAAAACTCCATCACATTTTTTTTAGAGAAAAACTCTATTACATTTAAAAATATTTTAAATTCTTGTACAAACACATCTATAAATCTTGTTATCAATTAACGGATGAGCAAAACATTCAAACCAATTGCAAGAAAATACCAAATCAACAAAACCCTTGTCTCACTACCCTCACAATACTGAAAGCGTTTGTGTTGTAATTCTCGCTTTTCTCTTACAAACCCTTTAAAATCCTATTTATAGCTATAATTTTAGTTTACAAAAGAAACTTAAAAACGTAAAACAGTAGGAAACTAGAAAAGAATCTGAAACTTAGAAATCCTATCGTAAAATACTAAAATACCGACCAATTAGGAATGGGCCTTGAAAATGGACAGAGCCAGAAACATTTTTTAGTGAGAGCAACTTTGAATGATGAAATTGAATTGAAAATTCGATACAATGATACCAACTTTTGTCCAACTACTAGTGTTTGAAACTCTAAAATTTGGGTAATTAGTGCTTAGAAAGAGCGAGAATAGAAAAAAATATAAAACATGAAAAAGTAATTTATATTTTTCGTTAGAGAAATTTTTTATCTTAAAAGAAGTTGACAGGAGGCAACTGCCCCAATTTCATGGCCTTGACAATATTAAACCCCCACAGGCTAAATTGGCAAAGGGGTTTGTGCCTAGCCAACTGTTCACAGTGAGAAATAACTGCAAAAGTACACCCAAGAAATCAATCAAAATGTAAATAAGTGAGGCAAAATTAACTTGTTTCTGATTAAATGACAACTAATGTCAGTGGTAGCTGAAAATGGAGGCAAATTGACTTTATTCAATTTATTCGATCCAACGATCAAAAATTGAAAGCGGCATATGAAAAGTAAAAATGATGTATGTATAGTATTAATCTTTCTCGTATTGAAAAGAAAATGCGTGAAAATTCAAATAGATGTGAATTTCATTATCTTAAAGGATAGGACAATGGCGCAGCAATTACCTTAGAAATTATTTATTAGGGTAACTTTGGAAAACTACTGTGACATTGTCTGAAAGACAAGAGGCATGAGTCGAACTGATAGGTCTAAAAATAATATGATAAAATATTTGTTTTTATATATCAATTAGTGATGGTGAAAAAAAAATATATATCAATTAGTGATGGTGATCCAAATTTTAGAACTAAACACATACATTTTTCGCAGAAAATACACTTTTTTAAGTTTACATTGATAAGTGAGGTTTGCTAGTAACAATTACTCACCTTCCACAATCAACCATTGATAAGTGAGGTTTGCACTAAATTGCAACAGACGATCATCAATTCGTGCATGAACGACATTTGTTAACTTTTGCTTTGCTCGGTTGTTTGGTTGATTGTTAGCCGTTTATAAGTGTGGGTGTTATAGTGGGGTCTACCCTAAGTTTGGCCATCATCCATGCATGCATGAGTTACATCCGTCAGCTTTTAAATTCATAATCGTATAATGATTGCTATTATTTAGCTACATATGATGTATAACTCGATATTCTAAAAAGTTTGACAATATTCAATAGATTGTCAACAACATATTAATACATTTGATCTTAATTATGTAGTTCAAACTGCTCACTCCTTCAAATGAAGAAAAATGCACAAAATAATTTTAACCGTCCATTTTCTAGTTTTATTTCTTGTTGGAATTTATAATTAGAAAAAAAACAAAAACAAAAACAATAATAAAACTAACAAACGAAAATAAATGGCAATAGAGGTAAAAAGGAAAGAGAAGAGGGGCAAAAGGGAGAGCAAGAGAGTATATCTATAAAGTGGAGAGAACGGCGGTGTGTGTGTGTGCTGATAAGCCCGGTGATTTGCTCAAATGGGGAAGAAGCAAACAACTCTCTCTCTCCTCCTTCATCTCTCTCTTCTTCTTCCGCTGTTTACTTCAGCTACTGCTTAACCCTCTCAAACCCCAGTTTCCATTTTTCAGTTTTGAAACCTCTCCCTCTGCTTTTCATCAATTCCCCACATTTTCTCTGGTTATTTTCTTACCCGCCAAACACCACCATCAGCAACCCTAACTCGCTCTCACCTCCCAAGTCCCAACCCATCTCGAATTCTCAGCTCACAAACACATATGCAGCTTCTGTGAGTCTTTTTCTCACTCAATTTTTCAACGTTCTGCAGATAAAGCTCAAATCTGTCTACTTTTTGTTTCTGGGTTCTTCAGCTAATGGTGCTTTTCTGACCTTTTTTAGGCAGTCTGGATTTGTATGCGGAGTGTAAATCTTGCAACGTAGGAGGATTTTAGGTCATCTCATCAGTCTAATTTTCTTGATTTAGCTTAAATTTTGCATCTTTAATTGTAATTAGTGTTAATTAGGTTGTCATTAATATGGGGTTTTGAGTTCGGAGGTGGAGGAGAAATTGGGAAGGATAAAGTTTTTAGAGATTTTGTTCTGATTGGATGGGTTTTTTGCAGCAAAGGAACTGATCCCATCAAGTTTGAATGCGCAGATCTGAGAGCTTTGGATGCCAAAATCTCAAACTGCTTATGAATGTGCAGACAGAATCACACTGCTCCATTTCTGCTGTCTGTACGTTTGTTTAAGTTGTAACAGACAGTGCTACCTTGACACCTGTCTCTACCAAATCAAAACCCACAACACTGTTCAAGGTTTGAAATTTCCCATATTTTATTTGAACTGCCAATGATCTTTTCTTTTAGTTTTATTTATTTATTGTTTAATGTGTTTTATTGAGCTTAATATACAGGAGAGCACGAATATGTCTCGCATTTTTAGGGCAACAAAAATAAAATTGTTTCAGATTTACTGCTTCTGCTTGAATCTGAAACAGAAAAGGGATTACATATTAATTCTGCTTTTTTTTGGTTTCTAAATTAGGTTATGTTCAAAAGTTCATCTTCTTTAAAAACCCTTTTGTTAGGTTTAGGCATTTAGCTTTTATTAGCTTGAGATCTCGGAAAGCTGGGTTTTTTGTGTGTAAATGTGTAGTGTATTTAGGCATCTGATCAACTGCTCTTACTTGCTTCTGTATTGTGATGTATTTTGGGTAAATTTTCCTACTTTTTCTTTACATTTATGGAATTAAAAATGGAAGTGAAATATGAAAATTTACTGTTGGCTTTTTTTTTTTTTTTGGCAGAGCGGAGAGACTGTGAAGAGTTAAACTGTGCAGGCTTTGGTTTGCTGCTTTTGAAAGCACGCTGCAGGAACTGCAAAAAGCTTTAAGAGAGAGAGAGAGAGAGAGTCTCTCGCCTGACTTGGACCGTGATATATCAGCACCGTAAAAGAGGCCTTTTTATCACTACAGAGCCAAAGTACCCTCTCTGAATATTATCGTCATCAATGCATAGGACACTGCAACCCCACCTCCTCCTCCTCCAGTCCTCCCCCTCTTTCTCTCTCTAAAACCACTCTCTCTCTCCCCCCTTCTTTCTCTAGAGAGACCTAGTGGTGCAGAAGGATAAGAACGAACCAAAGCAAAAGAAAAGAAAGTCCCAAAATTGAATGAGTCTTTGTATGAGAAAGGCATGAAACTACTGCTATGGAGGTGGAGGAGATACAAGCCAGCAACAAGTTCCCAAGAATCGGAAATGGCAGCAGCAGAGACCACAAGCCATCACCCGAAGACGACGACAATCAAGACCCATCATGCCTAGAGGTCAAGAGGGACGCCGCCACCACAGCCGCAGCCGATGCGGGCAACCGTCTCCGCGGTTGGCACCATTCCCGCATCATCCGCGTTTCCAGAGCCTCCGGCGGCAAAGATCGGCACAGCAAGGTCTGGACTTCAAAAGGGTTGAGAGACCGGAGGGTCCGGTTGTCTGTAACCACCGCCATAGAGTTATACGATCTCCAAGATCGGTTGAATTACGACCAGCCCAGCAAAGCAATTGAGTGGCTGATCAAAGCCGCCGCCGATGCCATCGCTGAGCTCCCTTCTCTGAACAATTCTTCGTTCCCCGACACGCCTAAGCAGCTCAGCGACGAGAAGAGGGCGAGCTGCGAGCGTGGAGGGTTTGATTCGGCAGAGATTGAGTTCGATCAGAACTACAACCAGAATCAGAACCAGACCGGGAACCAAAGTCAGCACCTTTCCTTGTCGAAATCCGCTTGCTCCAGTACTTCCGAGACCAGCAAGGGATCCGGGCTGTCCCTTTCTCGGTCGGAGGTTCGGGTGAACCGGTCCAAGGCCCGGGAGCGGGCAAGAGAAAGAGCCGCCAAGGACAAGGACAAAGAAAGCATTGAGTCAGCTTACCCGCACAACATTTCCCAACAAAATTCTTCTTTCACTGAACTTCTCACCGCCGGCATCGGCACTGCTCACAACAACAACGATTCTCGGACCGCATCTGCTCATCATCATCAGCAGAATCATGGCTGCGGCGGCGGCGAGCCCATTTTGTTCCACAAGGCACCAGCACCAATGGATTACTTCAGTCCCGGGCTTCTCGGGTTGTCCTCCTCGGCCCGGACTCATCACTCGGCCGGATTCTCCGGACAAATCCATTTGGGGATGAACTCTATTCCGCAGACAATGTCGGTTGTCTCCCCGTTCAATGTGTCCGGGGAACATCATCACGGACATCACAGTTCGGAGCTTCAGCACTTCTCGTTTGTTCCCGACCTCATCCCGGTCACGACCTCGTCGGAACCGGGCAATGGCGGTGACTACAACCTGAACTTTTCGATCTCTTCTTCCGGCGGCCTTGCTGGTTTCAATAGGGGGACCCTTCAGTCCAATTCTTCCTCTTCACCGTCTCTTATGCCTCATCACCTTCAGAGGTTTTCTCCCATAGACGGATCGTCCAATGTACCCTTCTTCATTGGAGCTGCTGCGGCCGCGGCCGCGCCAACCATGGAGAATCATCACCACCACCACCACCACCACCACCATCAGCAGCACCAACAGCAATTCCCAGGTGGATTTGATCGCCGCTTGCAGCAACTCTACGGAGACGGAACCCGGCATGCAGACCACAAGGGCAAAGCAAAGAACTGATTTGTCTCAACGATCAGTCCTTGGCAACCTATCTAAAGCTTCTTTCTGGTAAACCTTCACCAATCTGATTTTCTTTTTCCTTTTTTTTCCCTCCAAATATAATATACATTTTCTGCTTCTTACTTTTGTATTGGTTGCTTGCTTCTCTATTTCTGTGCTTATTTTTGCCTCACATATGAGTAGCTAGCTTTTAGCTAAAAACCTAGCTTATATATATGTGTGTGTATATATCTACATATATAATTGTTAATTTCGCACAGAAGTAGGGTTTGCTTGCTTTTCTTGGTAATCATAAACAAGTAAGGCATTGGGCCAAAGGTTTGATGGAGATATATGTTTTTAATTGCAATGTTTTCTGTCTGCTTTTGAATCCTGCATAGATTGGAGTGAATGGGGGGATCGGCTGGTTGTCTCCTCGTTTGTTCTCTTGTTTTGGTTTCCTTCTCTCTTAGCATATGAGGTCGTCCATGGATGGCTGACAGGTGTTGGCATTCACCTGGCTCAGGCCATGTGGTTTGTCACTCGGAGGAGGTTTTTGCTTTTCTGGTTAGCTTTAGGATTGTTTAATTGTTCTTTTCTGCCCTTCCGTGCTGCACCACACTGCTCGGCGGACTGTCGGCCTTTACCTGTATATAATTTGCATGGAGTTGTTTTTGTGAATTATTTAGCATGGTGAATAATATTGGAGAGCTAACTTTCAACTTTGTTTGCTTAGCATTTTAGCAATTAGCATGAGCCCTAACTAGCTAGCTTTTTGGTTAAGGGATCCCAGGCACGTAGGCAGGCATTTGCATTAATATTACGAGGCTTCCTTAAAATTAAAAATTGGAGGTCTCGGGTTCAAAACCAGCTGCTGGTGTGGAAGCCAGACTTGTGGTCAGGGGGAGGCTGAAATGCCTCTGTGAGTCTTTCAGACCCCGAAATTGATGGATAACCGTGGCTTGCCACCAATTGTCCCCCTTTTTTTTAAAAAAAAATTACTAAAAACAAGGTGGAGTGATATGGAGAAGAAATATGATAGAGTTTAAGGGAAAGGAGCAAAATATTTATAAATTTCAAACTAAAATATGTTTTGAATAGGTTTTTGTTTCGTTTAGTTTTATTAGTTCTCACTCATTTCCTCCTCATCTCTCTTCTCTACTATCTTTCTTTAGTGATTACATAAGAGTTCACATGGATTAATAGTTGGTACGTCTGTTGTAGTTTGTTTCCACCTCAAAAGTGTAGACCTCTTGAGCTGTGAGATTTTATCAAACAAGACCTTAATTTTAAATCTTAATGGAACATAAACTCTTAATTTATAGATTGTTGAGATATTTCTCCGATGTGAGATCTCAGTTACTCATCCACAACTTGAACTTCAACTTTAATATAGTTGAAGCTCCTCTATTGCCATACATATATTTTTGAGTAACAATATACTTTTTCTTCTTTTGAAATAAAAATTATTCAATCAAACATTTCCCATAAAACTGTGTTAAAGTGGGTCATTTGGGGATGGTAGACATGGATACAAAATTAATATTCATTCTTGTTAATATATAGTTTTTTGTTTGGTTGATTCGAACTTGACATCTTTTAAAATACTATTAAGCAAGGCTAGTTGATTATTTTCAAATATTTCTTACTAATATGTTTACGTTCCAAGGGATTCCACATTTGACAAAGCAAGTTCTATTCACACACCCTTTTTGACCATTTATCTTCAATTCATTCAATCCGACGGTCGAAAATTGAGAGGAGCATGTGAGAAGTAAACATAGGTGCGTGGATGGCACTACCCATTTGACAAATATGGTGACAGAATCAATAACTGCCATTAATAACAAAACTAATGCAATAACAAGTAAGCTTCACGTAATCAAATTTGTTTTTTTTCCTCTGTTTTGTATTGGTTGGTGTTGCAAATTCTTGTTTTAAGATTTTCTCTGACTCGTTCTACGTTTTGCTGAAACATGTATTGAAACAGAAGAATTGCAGGAGATGCATGCTTGGTCAAAGGAATTTTTTCAAAGTCCGTACATGTTCTTGCATGTATTCCAAGAATTCCTGTTCTGGATAACCTTTTATCTTTGTTAGCAACACATACCACACATCTTAAACCTCAAACCACAAAACCACCAATAAACATAAGAACATAAATGACAATAGTATTTCCCAGAAAACAAAACCTCTCACAGTAGCGTCGTGGAAGCCTCGTAAGATGGCCGTTGGAGGAAAGATATGAACGTGTCGTCTTCTTCTTCTTCTTCATCTTTCCTGCATTCCGTGCTTTAATACTTGTATTAATGTTGCTAGTTGGGTAACTTCTTAGTCGGATAAAATTAAGCCTCATGGATTCTATAATTTCTTAGTCGGATTGAATTATCCTTGTAGTATTTCAAACCTAGTCCATTTCAGTAGTGATCAATCCTTGGTAGTGTTCTTATTGCTTTATATTTGCCTTCGAAAGTGCGCTCGAGATTCGGACTTTGAATTTATTACGAAGTTGCATTTTCCCTTGAGTTTATTGCAGGCGTTGTCTTATATTTCAAAGTTGGATTTTTTAATTCATGCATGGTAATTGCAGTGATAATGTTTAATGCAGGAAAGTGAAGCTAAACAAGTAATGGTGGAAAGCTGTGGGGGGAATAGCATGTAGTTTTCCGCATCGGATGATAGCTTTATATTATTATCCTTCTGAAATTGTTGCTATTTCTGCTTTTAACCATTTTCCAGTTCTATATTTTCGGATATATATACATATATATTTATCTGTCTGTGTGCGCGCGCAATAGCAATAGCATTGTCTGTGTTGAAGATGTAACTGACAATTCGATTGAAGTTATATATTCTTTTGCTCATTTTCTTGCTCTGCAAGTCATCTTCACTGTATTTGGTTATTGAAACATGCATGCTAAGTTGGCAGTCTTCAAATCTTTTATGTTGAGTTAGGCTAGTTAGTTGACTAAGGAAGTGTGCTCGCTTTTTCGCAGGCCAGTCAAATCCTCCCATCATTTGACTAGTTCAAGCTTTACATCATATGTTTTGGCATTCTTCAAATCTTTTATGTTTAGTTAGGCTAGTTAGTTGACTAAGGAAGTGTGCTCGCCTTTTTCGTAGGCCAGTCAAATCCCCCATCATTTGACTAGTTTAAGCTTTACATTATATGTTAATATATATTTATATATATTTTGTCTTTTAAAAATAAAGTCTTTGCTAGTCAACTACATTGAGGGCTGAAATATTTTATTTGACCTCTCTCATTTTCACCCTACTTGTACGCATATGATTTATATGCATATCAAATCTGAAATAATGTAACTTGAAAATTAGAGCAAATAGTGGAATTGAGATTATCTCTGGTTCTCAAATTTCGGCGCTGACAGACTCAGCCATCTGGATAATTTAAGAGAGAGGTATGAGGGGGAGAGAGATGAGGGCGTAATTTTGTGTGTTTGATGATCCAGTGAGCTAATGGAGGGTGCATGATTTAAATTAAATGGTCTGTAGTGCTCGGTTTGTCAGCTCTTGAATTTGAGATCAAGAGATGATCTCACTCTGGTAGATATGACATTTATCTTAAAGTTTGTTTAGCGATATTACTGGTTTGAAGTTGAAACGCAAATTTTCCCAATAAAGTTTGATGTTGGAATTCAATTGAGAGCAGCCCCAAAAATTCGTTAAGTCTATTACTTGGTCCCAAAAGTTCCTTAGGTGTACGAAGTAGGCCCAAAAGTAATAAGGCTTGAGCAACACTAAGTAAGTGGACCCTTATGGGACAAACATACTTTCTTGACTAGCTGGCTTCGTTTACATCTTTTAAGTGAAAAATTATTGTTATTAGTTGATACATCCTTATATTGGATTATATTCTAGATAGGGCACTTTTTCATTTTTCAACTTAGGGTATCGAAATGCATTTGTAGTTTGTAGCAGATGCCTCACCAAGTTTTGGAGGCAACTGTAACTAAAAATAAGAACTAGAATCGAAATAAACAAACTCAAACCCTTAATTAAGGAGGTTGATGATCTTCTAAACTCCAGAAATCCGTGGTGATTCGTGTTATGAATCTTACTCTTGTTATAGTACGTCTATCTATTTATTAATAGTTTTCTCTATTAGCGTGTATTATTTAGACAGGCTCTAATCCTAGTGCCCGGAGGATATTGGGATGGTCATGTGCTGATCGACACTCGAGGGGTGACGCAAGCCATCTTACCGTGCTTATGATAAGAATATGAGAACATGAGAATGCATGAACATGTTCAGAGCATACGCATGATAAGCTAGCTTGCGTCACAACCCCCTACCCCCGCCCCCCCCAAGCCCCCCTTTCTTGGGTGTCGGACAGCACACGGCCATTCCAATGTCCTTCAAACACTAGGATTGAGATGTGTCATTTACTATGTCGTTGACTTATATTATGCACGTAAATTGATAACGTCGTGTCACAATCAATGCGCCCTAAAATGATGAAACTAAGAACCAGGCCCAACATATGGTTACATGAATTAAACCCAAAGTAGTAGAGTTATTAGTTGAAAGTACTTTTTTCAGAAAAACAAAAGCATCATGTGTCGAAATGCTACACCTCTTAAGCACTTTTCAGCAAGCTTGTTGAAAGTAGTTTCATTCGTTTGAGAGCATCCAATGAAAGTAAGTTTTGCTTTTGCACTTATTAAAGCACATATTAGCATCAACCGGAACATAGCCACACATGGAACATGTGCACTTCTTCAATTATAGGGATTGATTATTGGGCTTCATATTTTTATATTCCAAATGCACACTTGTTTCAACAACGGTATTATTAGTAACAACGTGCGAAAACGTGATCGTTAAAATTTTTCGGATGATAAGTATTTCAGTAAGCGTTGTTATATGGTATTACCAACCAATCATGTTTTAATGCATTGATAAATTCATTACATATCATCTATATCGTTCACCCGTTATATAACTTATAATTAACGATGTCATGCGGTGGTGTGGCCTCAATGTTAAAATAAAATAATAGTAATGAATAACGTAGAAGAGAAATATAAATGAAAGATGTACATCATGGCCCTAAGTGAATAGGGTTGTTTTGGAGTGCAAGTTTTAATTAACGTGGATTGTGAGTTTGTGGGTGTACAAAGCAAAGAAATCTCACGTGATAATAAACAGATAAAGTGGGAGGACAATCAGCTCAGATATTAAAATTAAATTAAATTAAATTGAATTGAATTAAGTAACTAATCATTCTCCACCCAAAATTCATCTTTCTTTCTTTCAAAGGAAAATAATGAAAATTAAAATAAATAAACGTGGCTGGGGAACGTTACCTGGAAAAATCCTAAATTCCAAATTTTCCAATTAAGATATATGTAGAGAAATCTCTTAATCTCATTATTCATAGCCAAACGACCAGAAATTCAAATCGTTCAAGAGAAAAAGATTCGGACCTTTGTTTTGCATGAGGTAGGTCAAAGAAATGGTTAACGAGGACCACAAATTGGCATTTTTTTCATGCCTTTATTTAGTGCCCAATCCAATCACTTCAACCCACTTGAACAGAAATTTTTTTTTTTGTATAATTAATTTATGAACCACCTGTTTATCTATCGGGAGACAAAGCATTTGTTCACTCATCAAGAGAATAAATAATTCCCTCTTTATTTTATATTCCAAAATTAATTTGTAATCATTTTTCCATAAATTGTGCTTTCGTGATTGCATAAATGGCAAAAATAATTTTTTGTGATGAAAAAACAAGTTTCCTCTCCTCCTCGCCGAAGCAAATTCATGTGAGACCCAGAAGCAGGATCAATAGCTCGGAACTTGTCCTGCTTTGCGGGTCTCACAAACATGCTCGGAACTTGTCCTGAGATCAGTCCGTGCGGGCATAACGGATCCTAGCTTAAAATGGGAGAAGAAAAGGGAACAATTACTTCATAATCTCCATTGAAGTTATCTTACAAACATTTAATCGTTGGATCATTCGGAACTTCCTCCTACCGATCCTTAAACGACAGTCATGTGAACCAGGCACGTTTATGTTACTTACTGTAAGGATGGAAACTTTGGATGGAAGTTATTGCGGAAATGAACTTTTGACATACATCACATAACCAGAGAGTGTCATGATACCTACAATATTCACATACATTTGGAAGAAAGGAAGGTAAAAGTTGATCACTGCAGTCCCAAAATCTTTAGAACATCAATCTCAGTTGCATGTGAGCACTCACTCTTGCAAAGCATCCAGCAGATGAAGCATTTTCGACTCTCGGCTCAAGCATACAAGAGTGGAGGATCTGCAGTGCGTGTTCCAACGGAGTATCTCTTCTTTCTGCGTCGTTCCAATCCAGATTCGTTGCACAATTGAGAGGCACCGCGGTTAACTGTCTTCCGATGAGGCAAAATTGTTCTCCCCTTTCTCCACTTTCAACTTAACGCCGCTCCCCATTTTCCCCCGAAGGACACTGTTTTCCCTGATAAAATCCCAAGTTGAACCAGATCAGTACCAAACCATGAATCACGGAGACAACCAAGAGCGGAATCAGAAATCCCAAAACATACTAGTACCATATCGCTACCTAACATTATGCATTTGATTGTTCATCCAATCTCTCGTTCGATTATTTATCAAATGACATACTTTTAAGCTACTTTATAGATCATATTCTTGGCAATCCAATACAATTTTGGAACTTGGGATTCTGAGCAACAAGCAGATCACCCTAATTACCTGTAATGCCATTAAATTTTGGAACTTTGGATTGCAAGTAAGAACAAGAACGAAATGAATGACTTCTGGTTCTAATGTACAAGAAATATTTCCCAACGTTTAAAGTCAATTAGTCATTGAATTGCAGCCGAAAGGCATTAAAACCCAAGCAACCATCCAATTCAATCCGAATCATAGGTAGACGAATACATTAACAGCAAATGTACCTGAGACACTCGAAATCGATTCAGAAGGAGTTCATCTCAAGACAGTAAGTGCGCCTCTTGACCAGCATCTTGGCCGCCGTCCCGTACGGCTCTTCGAAGGCGGTCGAAACCCAGGACATATCAGAGGAAACCTCCTTCTTGGCGGTCAGAGATTGCTCGCTGGGCCTTATAGCAACCAAAGTGGCGCCCTTTAGCACAACCCCATCAGGCAATTCCAGCTGGGGAGCATACCAGAGCCGCATGTTCAGGGCCGGCACGAGCGTCCTCTTCGAGGCCAAGGAGGCCGACAATGGCTTCACCCGCAGCTCCTCGAGCTGGTCCCTGTTCATGTGCAACACCCCCTGCCCGTCGGCATCCGTCAGAACCAAGCTGTCTAGCGTTTTGTGCTCCGAAATGATGGGCTGAAGCAGGTAGTGCCTGGCGGAGGCGGCGATCAACGAGCTGATCGTCCAGACAACCCTCAGCTTCAGGCCGCCGTTGGTGTAAAACGAGTCGGGTATGCTTCCGTTATCTTCCGCCACGGCTGCGTTGTTGGTGGTGCACAACCCATCAGACCAAGTGTCCGGAAACAGCGATGCTTTGGTGGGTCCCGGGTGTATGACGGAGGAGGCGCCGAGGATGACGCAGTTGTCTAAGGTGGAGCCGAAATCCGCCCTCCACCTGAGCAAAACGCCGTCGTCGATGCCTAGCTCGCCGTTGGGAAGCTCGATCCGGAGGAATCGAATCTCGTTGAAGTTCTTCAAGACTTGGGTGGGGGAGTGGTGGGTGACGCCGGATTGGTCAAGGCTGTTGCTGTCGGCGGCGGAGGAATCTGGGTCATCGACGGCGAGAGCGGAGTGGGACCCATTCGGGGATCGCCGGTTGGGTCCCAGGAACTGGCCGAGCGCCTGCAGAGGCTTGACAATGCCGCTGAGGACGAGGCGGAAGAGGGCAGAGAAGGGGGT